TTGAATTAAGCTTTCTTTCATACCTCTGGTGAACACAGTCTCATCTGGCCCAGTGAACTGGACATCATATGTTTTTTTTCTCATTCCTAGTTCTCTCAGTAATGCTTGCCTCTCCTTTATAGTCCTCCAGCCCCTGCTAATCATGTTAGTCTCCCTTGGTCACAACCATGTATCTTTAATGCCTTCAGCCAGCCATCCCATTAAGGACTGCTCCCCCCTTCATTGGCCTAGGTTGAACAGCCTATATCGTAGGGATGAATGGGTCGTTATATAACTCAGCTGTGAAGCTTCTGAAGGACTTAGACTGACGTCATTTGCTCCCATGTCCCATACTCTCACAAGCCATGTGGCCAGGGGCTCTCTGCTTGCTTGCTTGTAAGTTTTTCCTAGTTTTAACAGTTCTAGAATGGAATATTTCCTAGCTATAGTACAGTTAGCTTTTTTTCTTTTTTACTATTATCTGTCTTTTTCTCTAAGTCCTTGGACTTTACAGAAGTCAAAGTTTCCCACCTTTTTTCTCTCTCCAACTCTGTAATTGGGTCTGCCAGCCCAGCCTTTTCAGCCTCTCCTGCATGGGGCATATCTTTTATGATGCAAAGTGGCCGCTCTCTTTCTCCGGGCAGGGCACTTTGTTTGGGTCTAGAGAAGGTAAAAGATTTTCTAGCCTTTGGGTAACTTTTAACAAATCTTCACATACCCGCAACATATCCCTGCATTTATAACATAGCTGTGGCCCCTGCTTTTGCATGGATGGCCTCTTTTTAGTAACCCATTGCAAAAACCACATCAGTGCTGCCATTAGTGCTCTTCTAAAACTCATTCTCAGGTTGGTCATATCCTGCCGACTACAACAATTCTGTGGCCCAAATTGTCTCTGGGTCTCCTGCGCAATCAGACAAACCATATAATATATTCTATACGTATTTATTAATTTACAAAGGAATGAGTACCCAGTAGCCTAGTCCCACACCATGCCTCAGAGCCCGCCTTATCAGACCATGCTATGCCCATAATTCACTCACGCTTCTGGGGCCAGCATAGCTCCAGGTCCACAAAAGTCAGTCCATCCTGTCTTTCAGCTTTTGTGCATGGCATTTCCACGGTTCGCGCACTTCCTCACGGCTCATGGCTTCTCTGGCTCAGCTCATGGCTTCCATTCCAAGATGGCTCCCAGCCACACCCCCACACTGTGGCAGGCCCTGCCCATTGGAGGGACTAGCCAATCAGGAGACAGCTACACAGAGAGTTTCAAGCCAGCCTGGGCTACATAGTGAATTCCAGGCCAGCCTGAGCTACATGCTGAAACCATGTCTCAACAAACAAACCAAAGCAAAGCAAAGCAAAGCAAAGCAAATACAACCCTCCTTGGCATTCCCTGTGGGTGAGGAAGCAGAGGACACACTTTCCTGGTAGTGATGTGCACATCCCTTTGGTGAGTTTCTTGGTCCTGCATGCACATCATTCATTTCTCATTATGCTGTCCTTTGAAAATGGGGATAACCACCCATGAGAATAACCTAGTATGACTTTGGTGG